TGACTTTGGGATTTTTTTTATCAGGGATTATTCAGTTTTCCAATAGGGAACACCAGAATTCCTGCTAGAAAGGCCACTGGCAGGACCCTGCCTACTCAGAGCTGGCACCTTGGACCCATCTGGCTGTGGCCAGGAAGACATGCTTTGACAGTTCAAAGCAGGCCACCACACACGGAACATCTTTCAGGTGATAGCTGCCCAGATGGCTGGGCAGGGGGCACAAATGGCAGTAGTGCAGTAGTGCTGCACAAAGGCCAACCCTGCAACTGCAGTCCACTGGCAGCTAGCCCAGAGGGGCAGATGCCTCTACTGGCTATGCAGTCCCCATCTGGGTCTGGCAGGTGCACAGCAGGTCACAGACAGGCAGCAGCCCCCACTGCCAGACATCTGCATTGGGTAGAGGGTGCAGGGAACTCTCAGGGCTCCTTCAGCAGTCTAGCTGGCACAAGGGATAGTGTCCCCAGGTACCAATTGGCTGGGCCCCAGAAGTTCCTGAGAGCTAGTACAGCATAGGTGCTGGCCCCAGGCTCTAGCTCCCCCTGGCTGAAGATCCGGGAAGAGCCAGGCAAGGCTAAATTGTGCCCAGGTGGCACAATTTGCTCCACAACAAAGTGCATGTCCGAGCATGTGCACTGAGGCAAAAAGCCCCAGCTCAAATTTGCACTAATTCTATTTGAGCTGCTGCAAGTGCACGTACTTACATGTGTGGACGCGCCCTTAGAGGCTCCAAAATCTGAGGTAAGTGCTGTAAACATAGGTATATGCTATGAGAAGGGACACCCTTAACTACTAAAAGGAAGAATTTATGAACTTAAGCCAAGCAGAGAGTCTAGGATTATGAATCCCATTCTGACAGGCAGTTCCCTGAAACCCATCTTATTACTGGTTACTTTAGACAGCTCCTTGCTCAACATGCTGGCCTTGCAAATTCCATTCTGAGATGCCTAACTCTCTCCAGGCAATGCATGGGGCGCTTAGGCACTTACTCAGAGCTGTGGATTCCACTGAAGCAGTAAGGCACCAAAACATTAGCTGTTGCAAAGCTCAGTATTGAAACGCCTACCCTGAAAAGTTCTTCTGGGCATTTAGCTTTTAATGGTCAGAGGCACTGTAAACCTCAAAGCCCTGTGTCATACATTCCACATTCCTTAAAGATCAATGCAGTTAATGGAATAATATTTCCGTCTGTCAATAAAATGTCTAAATCTATGTTCTACCTCAAAATGTACCATCACCCAGATTGAAACTGGAGGTGCTAATGACAGGTAATTCCACTTTACTCAGGAATTCACTCATTTCTCAAGTTCACTGACATTTTCTGGCATGCCAATCTTTCCTACAAGCACTGGCCAACAGGAGAAATTAGGGACAATTTTTAGACTGGAAGGAGTAGGAAATGTTTTAGTGTATTGCATTACTTAAAGATTAATTATGTACACATGCTTAGACTCTCTCCATCAGCATAAATAGTACGTAACTTGAAATATTGTTTTAATTTCAATAAAAAGAGTCAGTTCTGTATTTCATTAAAAACACAAAAAACAAAACAAAAACACCCTTACACTTACCCATACAGTGTAATGAGGTTCTGGTGCACTGCAGTCTTTTGCAAAAATATAGGAACAATTTCCTGGGAAGTAATAATAGATGCCATCAAATGTTTCAAAGTTATACTGTCCCCAGGATTTGCAAATTCCATTTCGGTCCTTACCAGCATTAGGTACTGGAAAGAATAAAGGTAACAAGTACATTAAAAACACAGCAAATAAAAGAAACAGCAATGCCATTGGCATCTACAGAAAATATTGCATGTTAGGTGAACATACATCAGAAAAAAAATAATTTCCTTGATAAATCATTGATCAATGATAAAGCCATTAAAGAAAATACCCCTCTTGGATGATATCCTGACCCTATCAAGTCAATGGCAGTTTTGGGTGGGTGATAACCTTTTAATTATGAAGAGGGATGAAGTAAGAGATTACAAACATACTATGTCCAAAATCATTTGGCTGAAGGCTGAGAAACAGGTTCAAATTCAATAGCAGCTTTGACCTAGCTCCTCAGAAGGTGGATGGGAAAAAAAAAACCCAAAAAACTTAAAGCAGTGCAGCTGATTTAGGCCCAGCTTTAAACTCTCCTTCCATGGCTGCTGTTATAAATACCAGAACCGGGCACCCTGAGGAGTTGGGACAGGACAAGGAAGTTCCAGGCCAGGTCTACTGCTGAGAAATTTGTTCTTGCTGCTTCCTACATAGAACAGCCATGAAATCTGGGCCACTGAAATAACTTGGAAGTCCTGTTTTCCAAAGATGCATTTAGCCATTGTTAATGGAAGTGCAGTGTCCTTTTTAGTTAATACAGTTAAATGGTGATGCATTAGAATATCATAGCAGGCATCAAGTAATATAATACAAGAATGCTTGACACTAGTCTATACTCCCATACTCTGAGCACAGAGTGTGAACCATCTGGCCCCTTGGGAGGATTACAGGTACATTATAAGGGGAATTGCACACCTGCTCTGACCCAGTATTAGGTTAACAAACTTTCCCTAAAACTGTACTCTAACCTGATATTGAGTTCCTTTGTTTGTTACTGAAACTTACCAATTTGGCACCTTTTCCCTTGAGCCTGAAATGTCTGACAGTCACATGCACCTGCCTCTGTACAGGTTGCTCCATTAAGGCACTCTTGAGGACATGTACCTGTAAGTAAACATAGCTGCCTTCCAATATAATGAATCCACTAAATAAATTTAATTAAATGTTACTACTGTTAACTAAAACAGAACTGGCTTCATTAGCTAAAAGTTTAATCTACAGTGATCCTTCCATTTACTGCATTCCATATTTTGGATTACTTTCTTACAGGATAGCTTGAGATTTATAAACTAACAAGAGAGCCAAAGGGCAGCCTCCTCCCAGTAAATAAAAGTTCAAGTCCCCATGTAAAGAAACCAAATCCCAGTTGGCTTATACCAGAAATATACATGTATATAAAATATACCTGCAGTTTATACACAATGAATAAATTCAGCACAATCAGTGCACATATTTAGTTCTCCTTACCGAGTGTTAAAATGAAGGATTCATGCAAGCTATGAATCCCTCTGAAAATAAATGTATGCAGTCAAAACAGCCATAAATAATCAATTTAATATGCTTAAAAATGAGTTAAATGGTTTAACAGTTGATTGGTGTCATAAGGCTGTCTTGCTTTACATTACAGTTGGTTTAGCAGGATTTTTAAAAATATGTATGTGGTTTCTAAACATAGTTTCATTAAACAGAACAACATACAAACTTAAAAAAAAAACAACTCCTCTTTTCTACTGGCCTTATGGAGAGAGACTGGTCTAAAACAAAACTCCAGATCTGAAGCACACAGAGTTTGGAGAGAGAGAGACAGAGGACCGGAATCCAAACCTGGATGAAAATATTGCAATTTGCTTTTTTCTACAATGGCTAATTTTAAACCCTGTATCCAAACATCTTTGGGTCCACCCAGGTTAAAAAATTTTCCTCTGAATTCTGACGTTCAGGAACATCTTTAGGTAAGTGTGTACACTGCACATAAGTGAACAAGTACGTGTACACGAATATTCCTTTTAAAGGAAGCAGAAGAGTCTTAGGTCTTGTATTTTTTCCATTGAAAACTATTCTTCAAATGCACATAAATACATCTACATTTGAAAATACAAGCAAGGAGATCATAGTCTCTCTCACCTCTATAACAACTTACAAAGAAAGACTTTAGAAAAGCTTAAGCTGCACCATATGTGTATTCATTTTTATGGAGAGGATAGGAAAATACACTGTGTTCAAGTAGTTAGGTCTGGTCTCAAGTGGAGTATCATTGTTCAGCCTCTTTGATCGCATTTCTATGCAGGAAACTAAGAAACAAAGGTGCGAGCATGTCTATTGCAATTTCTGTGAAGTCTCTCCATTAACACTCAACTGCCTGAGATGGTTGTGTTCGAAAAATGCCTAGAATTTTCTAGAAGCATCTTTATCGTGCTCATTCAAGAGCATCCCATGCAACAGCTACTCAATTTGCCAATGTCCAAAACTTTCAAACAAGATGAAACAAGCCAACCCAAAAGAAACCTGGGGTAGAAATTAATTTAAAGCAATGAACAATTTTAGGTGAGGAAATGCTATAGCATTTTTCTTTAAAACAGAGAAGTTAAAAAAAAGCACAGAAAATAACCATTTTCTATGATTAAGCAATTCAGAAGCACAAGTTACCTAATGCAATAAAAATGAGATATTACCAGGTTATTTATCATGAAGAACGTGCCATTAAGACTGGTACAACCTTTGGTAAAATGAGATAGGTTATAGATGTGGGGCACTTTACCTAAATCCTTTCAAACAAGAAGCTATCAACACTGACCTCCTGATGGGCTTGGACTCTGAATAAATGACCCATGAAGTCGAGATTGAGGGGAAACTGTTTCAGTCTATCAAAGAAACAAGAGAGACAAAAGTAGAATATCAATATTTGTGAATAGTCTGACTGGTACAAGCCAGGGGGTTTTGCAGCAGTTTTAGGAAATGATTTTGCATCAGTGTAGAGCCTTTCATCCACAGATTTCCAAAACACTTTGTAAACAAAAGGTGAAGTTACTTCCACGGCCGAAACGAAGCCAACACTGGGATGCAACACAGTGATAAAGTTACCGCTTTTCCTTTTTGTGATTTGCCAGCACAGAAATAGCAGATTTCTGACTGAGGCAGATATGCAACACTTGCTTCTTGGTATCTCTCCCCTCTCCCACTTACTACCCCAAGGTCAACAAATTTGCTGCCCCCTCTGACAGGGCTGTTAAACGGTGATGACTTCAACTTAGGATTTTGCTTTTGTAAAACACAAAATCCTACTTCGGCATAACAGGTGAAAAGTTTGAAAATGACCTTAACCTTTACCTCAGATAAGGGACAAATCAGAATCGTCACTTATCTCTGTGAGTTGCCAGGAACATTGGATAGGAAGGGACCTACCCTACATGGTCATCAAGTTTAGTCCTCTGATATCACAGGTAACCATAATTTCATCCAGGAACAGATCATGGCCCATCCTGTAACTAACTAGATTTTGGCTTCGCTACTCCCATGGAGAGCCTGGAACCTTATGTTGGAAAGTTAGAAATCTTAATCTAATTTCTAACCTCAATTTGTTCATTAGCATACAGTAAAATGTGGATACAGCACAGGGTTAGGTTTCCTGCTCCCCTTTGAAGATGAGGGCTTTTTACTTAGCTAGGAATAGTTCAGGACTGCAGAGGCATTCCAGCTGTTTGCTTGAGCTTTTATTTTAAAGGCTACTGACCTCTCTGTTCAGCTGTGTCCTAACACAGATAAGATCCAGCTGATGGAAGCTGCAGCACCCTTTGTAATCAAAGCCACAGCAAACAATTGAGTAGCTCATCCTTAATTTGGCAACCTACTGCCAATTAAATAGGTTGTAAACCACCTCATATGAATGGTCCAGGTTCTACTACAGATCCAGCTGTTCTTCTACCAACACTATCTTTGACCTTGACCCACTCAACCTCCAAAGTATTTAGAAAGAGTCTATGCTTTCTGTACTAGAAATACCTCACCTATTGAATCCTACAATAGCATTTTCTCTTTTTGTGAATAAGTCAATTTGGCAGCTCAGTCTCATTCTGTGACTATTCCAGGTTTTTCTCCTCCTCAGTCATTTCCAGCTGACAAGCTCCCAGTTTACAAGAGAAATTCCTACTAGTTCCTCAGCACATTACTTTCCTTGTTAACCAGAGAGGTTCCAGTTTGTCCCTAGGGGAAAAGTCCTGAAGTTACTGCCCGTTTTCAATTAATATCATACTCTCCCACCTACTCTGTCCCAACCAAAACTGCCTTCAGCCTTCACATTATATTTAAGTCACAGGTCCTTAATTTTGCCATTAATCGTCTATTAAATCCACTAATAGGACACATCTGTACAGACCCATTTTATCCTAAAACATGTCTTACTGCAAGGTGCGCCAGGCACGATTCAGCACATCACCACTCCCATATAAGCAGGCATAACAGTCTCAGTTGGAAAAGGCACTGTGGGGTCTTGAGGCAAAGAAACTCAGCTAGCTTTCAGGAGACGCAAGTTAATTCCTGATGTTAATGTTCTGCATGACCCTGCACAAGTCACCTTCTCACTGTCTAGAACTCAGTCGCCATAGCTGTAGAATGGGGTAATAGCCATGCTCGGGTTTTTCAGACTGGTATTTTCACAAATGGTTAAGTCAGGTGCCGTTGTATTTCAGATTAAACTCAACCAGGTGCACTATACAGCAGTGAGGCAATGGGAGGAAGGGAACAACCTTCAGAGGCACAGAGTGTATCCTGAGAGCCTACTCCATAGCCCAGGAGTACCTGTCACAATGACACCATTTGCAAAATTGTTCATCTACAATTTCAGTACTGTCCTTTTCACCAGCCACTAACAGCGCCCTGGGTCTTTCTGTTTGCTATCACAAAAGATTTAACAGTCAAAGCCACCATTTTTCCCCTTGGTGTGTGCCAGTCTGTCTGTTGCAAAGAATAATTCATAACACATTGTGCTGACGAATAAATGAATAAGGCTGTAGAGGCTTTAATTTTGGGGGAAGCAGGTATGGAAAAGCTTCTCCTTCTCATCTCTGTTTTATTATTACTATTTCCATTCTCCTCTACAAAGGCTTCATTGTGGCAACAGCAAAGCCCCACTGCAGAAAGGAGGAGGTTCTCTCCCCCACCCTCTCTCTCCGAGGTATGACCTACCTCTGCTGCTAAGAGATCTCTTTTCTGTCGTGTTGCATTAAACTCATTTCTGGAAGAAAACAAAAAGGATCTTGTATAATCAAAGGTCCCTGGTGCAACATGAATAAGCAGCTCCCTAGGGAGAGGTGTTTCTCTCTGATTTCCATCACTTTATCAAAGAGGTCTTTCTTGGGTTAACATTTAAAAAGGTGACTTTTTTTCTTTTCTAGTCTCATTTTACAGAATTCAGGAGTACTCAGATCTCTGTTCTTGAACACGAGCTCCTTGTTTAGGGAGGTACCTGCTGTTTATGGGGAAGGGGAGATAAGCAAATTGGGTTTATTTTATGGGATACAATATTGTGAAACTGTTCATTGGTGCGGTACAGATGGTGGTAAGGTAGCACCACTGCTGTATGCATGTGCTATTATCATCTATCTCCCTGCAATAGCCATTTAATTTTTTTTTTTTTTAAACATAAATGGCCTCCAACTACAAAGTATTCCTAGTTTTCATTTCACATTATATAATAGGCATGTATTGATTAGATGTACTAGAAGTAATTAGAGATATAGTGATGAGACCCAATCCTGTTTCTACTGATGTTAATGGCACATTTCCAAGACTTCAAAAGAATTGGGAATTAGAGAATGGGTTTATTTGCTTATAAACAATTGCACATAACTTGTCCTAAAAGGGATTTTTCAGATAAAGTGGATTTGTGGGTACCTCCTTTCCACATGGAATTAAACTTATATTTTACTATTAATTTTTTCAAACAAAAGAACAATCATTATATGCAACATGAATCTCCTCATTCTTTGAACTTGGCTGCGACCACACAAATATCATCCTTTTGTAATCATCCAGGCAGCACATTAGCTTTTCTACAATAGATCTGCACCTTTAATCACTTCTTCCCATTAACACTTTCCAAGGAATTAGCATTTTACACCTTAGTTACTGGAAATTCTAAACAAACTCTATGCAAGACATTATTTTAGTTCCACAATTTTCATTATATTTGTTCCAGCTATACTGTCTTGAAATACTCTACAGATAAGAAATGCAGACTCACCTCGGTGTTCTTTTCAAAAGAGAGGACTTGCAATAAGACCCTGTTAGATAAAAAGTCATTGAATGAAACATTTTTGTTTCCTTCTACTTACTCTGATAGCAACTACTTATTTGTTATACATTTATAAAATATGTTTAACCTTTGACCTTTACAGAAATTGCTAATTACTGTAATTTTTCCAGAAAATCTTTACGGAGGCTTAATCTTTCAGCGGAATTTGGCCCTACCCAAGGCAGAAATATTTTTTTCTTTTGAGTAATTGACACATTACTTATTCATTGTTGGATCATCAGTATGTGCTTAGACAGGGCTGAGCAGCTTTTACCTCCTTCTTTAATGAGCAGAAAGTGCTCAGCTCCTTGCACAATTGAACCAAATCTGAAATACAGAAAGTGCTCAGAACAGCTCAGGATCAGACTTTCAGTACGACTGAAAGTAATTAATAGTTGCAAAATTTTATTCCAATCTATTTAAGCCTCTCGCTAGCTTTGCTGCAGATTTACTTTTTATTTTAAAAAATATTTCACTTTCAATATTTCACTGTGAAAGCAGCAAGGTTTTAGAAAACTCTGTTATTCTAGGGAATCTGTCTTCAGTATCTATTACCATAAGTGCTTACTGAACAGCACAGAGAGTTTCTATAATCACTACATCAAATATTTACATTAACATCCTAAAAAAGGTTCAAACGACCTACAAGTGTAGCCCAAAATCTTGAGCAAGGTCAGATCTTGTTTATACAGTACCACCTTTGACAGTGAGGCAAGAAAACCAAGAAAAGCTACATTTTGTTCTTTACTAATCATTTTCCAATAACATTTAAGCTTTCAAGCCTGAAAGCTTAAATTTTATTGGAAAAATGTTAAGTCATATTTACTTTAAAAACAGTCAGTGTGTGTGATGTAGAGCTGTTTAGTCTGTCACCATTTTTTTAAAGTTATGTGGTAGAACCATATTTGTTTTACTGTAAAAAAGTGAGAACAAGCAAATTACTGAAATGGTTACATTTTTCTGAAAGGTATAGCGTAAGAATTGAGCATAAATTCTTACCTTGCAGAGAGAACAGCAGTGAATGAACCAAGAATATGCTCCAAGGTATCATTAAATTAAGTTTTCCCACAATGTTCATTTCAATATAGCTTCTTAGGATGAAATTTATCCAAATTGATGGTCTTAATTATGATGGCATCTTAGACCTGTGTGTGTCTGCAGTGAGTTTAAGCCTTTTATGAATTCAGATTTCAGTTAGATGCATTGAAAATAATGTTTTGGGAAAAAAAGAAGAAAAAATATTAAACTTTGTAGCTGGATACAATTTCTGGAGCTTTCCAAGTGTCAGATATAAAAACGTTTTTGGCTCCTTCTCTCTCATTAGTAGTGCATTGTTAACTCCTCAGCAGTCTGTATTACTTACACTAGACCTGCAAGTCTTACTACTGCTTGGACTGAATGAAGCCTTTATAACATTTGTTGATAGTGACATACAAAGAAATTCTGCCTTGTCATGACGTGTTGAGAGATTCCCTCCTCCCGCCCCAAACAGTGATCACCGCATATTTTGAAGCTTGTTCTAATTAAAACTGCTGTCCTTTCTGTAGTTATTACAGTGAAAAGTTTCAAAGTATAAATAATGTATAATATATATTAATTAATTCAAAGTGAATCCCTAAACAACACTTTCTTTTAAATCCTCATGATTTTGCCACAAAAGAACTTCCACAAAAGTTTGTCATTTGTTTTTAGGAAAAAGAGTCTTAAGAGTTCTCATACATAACAAAAAGGGGCCTGGAATTTGATAGTTTAGAGACCTGTAACTTGGGGGAAGCGGGTTAATCAGCTTGAGAATATTATATTTATATTAGCCTTTGATGAATACGAACAAAGGAAAGATACCATCTAGTTTTAGGGTTAGCCTAACCCTAAAACTTCACTACTCTAATTTAATCATAAAAGATATACTCGTACCTTTTATTTAAGACATATGTTGCTAATCTAAAACATGATTTACCATATTTCTGTGATCTCCTTTCCTCCAGGCCTTCTGTCCTTAAGTCTTTGAGTTTATTAGTGTCTTCATTTACATCAGGATTGAACCACACCAGTACACACTACAAATTGCTATATTTACTAGCATTCTGTACTTACTGATTAATAATTCATTGGTTTAAATATTGGGTTAACTCTGAGCCTAATGAAAACAATTAATTGTCTTTAACGTAGCCAGGATTTGATTAAATACCTTTGTTCTAAGTTGCATAAAAGTATAAAAACCCAGCTTATTTATGATACATTCATGACAAGAATATATTGTATTTTCACTGCAAAACTTTGAGAAGTTTATAAACTTAAGATAAATCAACTTTAGATGCATCCATTTTGATTTTTAAATCACATATCAACAACGTTACTGTAAAGGAATTTACGGAAGAGTGCTAATTGCATAAAATACAGAAAAATACTGTCCCTGTTTTTTTAAAGAAAAAAAATATTTTGTACATTTGACAAAATTGCGATTAGGCAGTTCCCATTTCGGGTAGTGTCTCTTAAAGAACAGAAAATTGACATTGGCACAGAGACATTATCACCAACTACCCTCAACTATTGTTTAGGCACTGAGTGGACGGCTTTTAGTTATCTTTGACATATTTAAAAGCAGATATAGAAACAAGAAATAAAAAGCATCAGATTAGAAACCAGAGACCTCAACCAAATAGCACTCCTTGAATATATACTCCTCTCCCCAAATGCCTCAGATGTACTTTTCAGGGAAACTCAGAGATGGTACTAGAAAGTTTTTTGGGCCAGTGTGAATTCAGAAGTTGATGGCCTTTCATATAGAATTTCCTACCAGCAGCTCTCTGCTACCCTCCAGTGGAAGCACTCTCAGTTGACAGAGAGGTAATTATCCATATGGGAAGAGAAGTAGTCACATAGCAGGTCACAGGTTATTTTAGGATTCTGAAATTTCAAAGCCAAAACCAGACCAACACAGCTACAACCAACATGCCCAAAGCCAACACCATAAGCTTTATCCAAAAATCCAAGACGAGCCAACACAGGCTCTGGATCACTGCTGTTCTAGAAAAAGGCATGGCTTATTAAATGGGCTGCTGCATTCTCCACTTTCTTCTCTTTCCCAGGTAGTTTAAATTGTCGCTGCACAAAAATTACATTGCAATAACTTTTAGGAAGGACTCTTAGCAATTAGCATAACATAATTTTTCAAGTTATTTAGTCCTCTGTATTTTGGTATTATTTTAGAAATTATCTTAAGGTCATTTAAAATATTTACTTTCTCTTTTAATGGTGTCTTATTGCATGCTTGCTCTCACTTTTTACTTTCTAGAAGCAACATAGCTATTCCTATTGGAAACCATCTTCTCTAGAACCTTCATCCTAAGATTTTACTTGATGTCTCCAGCTTTGCAGTGGGAGTCTTCTAGCGCACATTTTGGTATATCTGAATGGGGCAAAGTAATATGCTGTATCCTGGATGCAGAGAAGTAAAAAGATTATAAACTGTGCCATGACAGCTCTACCAGCTACCAGGAAAGATACAATGAGCATAAACAGTGATGTGATCAAGAGGTGGAAAAAAAAAAAAAAACTCCTATATATTTCAGAAACTGATGAAATTTTGGTGGCAATAACTTTACATCACTAAACCAGCAATGCAAAGTTAAAAGCTTTCAAATATCATCACTAATTCTTTAATCATTCAGTCTTTCATGTCAATTACAATATTGGATTATGGAATATGGATATATCCATCTTTCCTTTCTTTATCTTCTACGAACAAAGAGGCCCTAAAGTAACCGTTATCCAATCCATTAATTGCATCACACATAAATATTATGCTGCACATAGGTGACTATTGGATGCTTTTAAATACGAGGTAACTCATGTTTCATAGTTTCTAGGGCCAGAAGGGACCTGAGTAGATCATCTAGTCCAACCCCTTGC